GTTTGCTCTAACTGATCTTGTGCCAGCTCATTACAACCTGTATTTCTCAGTAAAACAGAATTACACAATTATATGCAAGGTGTTCCCCAACAGGGATCTGGTCATTGTCAGTAATAATGAAGATTCATGTCTTATGATTAGTACTAATAAAAATGATCATTAGAATCTTTAAAAGAACTTTGAGGAATGAAGTTATTTGCAGTTTGTCACTTACAATAAAAATATAACTTTCCCTAGAATTGCTTAAACATCTGTGATCATAATCAGAAGTGAATTTGCGAAGACTGTTTTAAAAAATTTTATATACTGCTCATCAGAGAATAATGATTCCAAATTCTTCCTACTGTTAGTATAGAATAACTAATTACTATATTCTCATAGATTATAAGAGGTTCCTGTAAATTGTAGTTAGGAAAAATGTTTGAATGGAATCCTGAAATGGAAGTCAAACTATTGAGGAGGTCTTTTTATTCCTCGAAAAATCAACAGTAAATGTATGGTTATAAAAAACATTACTATATTCTATTCACACCAAGAGGCCACCCATTGTAAGATAACATTATTCTAGGTAGTGACAATATAAACAGTGTTGCATGTAGCACCGTAAGTCACATTCGACTTCAGAGATGCTGAAATGTGAAAAAAAAATGTACATCTTGAAATTGATGCAGTTTGGTAACATTATACATTTTATGCAACTATTCATAGAAAACATTTCATAGGTTGATAGCACTCAGTTATTGGGTAAATCTTATGGTAAAGAACAACTGGAGATGGGCAAATGTAACTTCTTGCCAGCATAAACTATGTGGACACAAAACTGGTACTTTTAATTGTTTTCTCATAAGCTCCTCTCCTCTTTCATCTTCCTCCAAGATGAGGGTTTCTTTGACAAATTTCTTCATGCCAGTGGGTGGCTGGCAAAGGGAAGAAAATGCTGCTGCCTCATCAGAAATGTCTTTAAATATTACACTACAAAAGGGTATAATTTACTTAAAATAAGTATTGCTCAAAATGTTCATGGCTGTTAAAACTGCAAGATATTTTTAGTTTATTAAATATATGAATTTGACTTGTTTTCATTCTTTATATTTCTAACAAGAAATATTGTACATAAACAACAAATAATAGAGATAAAAATACTTATTTGTTTTCAAGGGAAGGTGTTTTGTGCAAGACTCTGATGCTGCTTTTTCTGCTCGCCAGTGTTCAGAACATTCATAGGATTTACAGCTCTGGCCAACAACCCATTTGGCCCATTCTGCTTAGGAGAGCAATGGAGCCTTTCAATAGCGACCATGCTATTTGTCTTTAAGATGTACACAGGGCAATTCTGATGAGCAGAAGATAAGAATTTCAGCAGAATAGGAACATCTTACTTTTAAAAAAGTGTAACGTGTAATTCTTATTACTTAAGGCTATCAGCAGATATGCTTTTAAGTTATTTATAATATTAGAAGTCTAGCTATTGCTAATGCTAATCCCCACTTCCTTATATTTAGATATCAGAAAAAATATTTTTCGTCCCTTTCATTCACGTTCTTTCTAAACCTGTGGTCATTCTACAACCCTTGTGAACCAGAAAAATATTAAAAGTTTCCTTCAGATATTCCTTATGTGTGTGTGTCTAGTAGATCCACGGATATCCAAAACTGAATTTTTTTGAGGCATTCAAAACTTTTGCTGTTGTGATAACTTTGCTTTTATTGAACTTCAGAAGGGTATGTTACCTGGGCACAAATATGATGGGAGTTTCTGAAGAGTGGCTTCCATCATAAAGAAAGTCAAATCTTTCCTTCACGGTGTTCCACATGTGCAGTAAAAAGTTTTTGGTAAGAGAACTTCAAAAAAGAATTCTGCTCATTTTAAACATGACAATGATCTTTGTGAAATGGAAACAAATTCAAAATTGCCAGATGGCTTAAATATCTAGCTTTAATAATTTCCTCAACAATTTGAATGTTAGGAATCCCTTGGAAATAGTTCGAGTTTAAAATTTACACTCTTGGGCTAGAGATTTAGTTCAGTGGCACAGCGCCTGCCTGGCAAGCACAAGGTCCTGAGTTCAATCACTGGTACTGGGAAAAAAAAAAAAAAAATTAACACCCTGAGTTCCTTTCGTGTGTTTCCAAAACAAAATTTTCATTGAAAGAAGCAGAGGTTTGGGGTTAAAAACTTAATGAAAATATAGACTACATAAAAGTATTGGCCCCTTTTCTGCAGTGAGCACTCTCTGACCCTCAGGTGGATACAGGAAGGAGAAGCTGTAGCGACAGGAGCAGCAGTGGAAGGCATCTTCTTCTGCAGAAGTCATTTTCCATGGAAAATTCTCCAAGGGGATCACAACGAGTTGATTAACCAAGAAATCAGCCAGGCTCCATTATTGTTCATCAAAGTTTATGTAATCTTTTAACTATTTGATCAATGTTAACCTCACATGGTCTGGAATGAAAAGTGTCATCTTATTTTCGCGGTAGATATACAGCAAAGAGTACTTGCTGTTTTCCATTTTAGGCGGATTTTATTTGTACCATTTCAACTTCCACGTTATACTACTGCTTAGTTTATAACACAGGTTTACATATTATTTTAAATTGTAAATGAAAAAGTTAGAGGGTGTTTAAGTATTATTTAATGGTTGTGACTTCTTTTCTTTTTGGGAGTTTCAGGTATGTAGAAGTGCCTTGAAAGAAAAAAAGGTTGTGTCTTGGAGACCTGAGAACCTATGCTCAAGGTGCTAAAAATTTTGGCATTTGGTTATTATCAAGTTGAGGTAGCCTGCTCTTAGAAGAGCATTATAATTTAGTTTATTCTAAAGAAAGGACTAGATGTATTTTTTTAAACTAGCATTTTAAACTAAACTTAAAAAAAAAAACTAGCATTAACAACCTTCACAGAGAAGCATAGTTGTGAAATCATTTTTAAATTAAACCAAATATTGCATTTAGAGATATACATGAAGTGATTCATCTCTAATTTTGAGATTTAAAGAAACATATAGTTTCTTTGTTGAGCTTCACTAAGACTGCTGTTTAAACATCTACTACATACATTGCCCCTTTCATCTGAGTGTTGGTCCTACAGATAGGGTTCACACCCCAGTTTTAGACTGTTAGACATTCTGGGGCATGAACTGTTGGCTGTTTCAAAATCTTCAATGGCAACTGCTTGGCTCCACTTCTGAGCTTGGCTTCTCTGGAGCACAGGTAGTGACACTCACAATACAAAACATACCCTAATGTAAATAAAATTTTGTTTTGCAAAATTTTTGGCATACGGTTGTTATACATACCTGAAAGAATGTAAAAAATATGATGTCACCACAGCTAGAAGTAGCAATTTACTAATTTCTTAATTTTACAGGTTTTATAACATTCAAAATCATTCCTATGTCACCATCAAAGAAAGAATCCTTCATAGGACTTTCTATGGGTCTGGTCCGATTCTTAGCACTTTATGTAGACTACTGCACAGAAACTTTGTAACACTCATATAGATAGAACCATAATATCCCCAGTGGTACAGGCAAAGGAAAAGGAGACACTTAGAAGTTAAAGACTTGCCCAGGATTACAGAGGCAAAGAGCTGTGGCGTTGTTTAGAGAAAAGAGAATTTAAAGTGTCTGCCCTCCCTTATGGTAGACAATGAAAGAGCACTTGGCAATTCCTTCACAAAATAGCATTTAAATCACTCCACTTATAGGAAAACTTGCCTGCTTAGAACAACTTCTGGAAAACAACTCCAACTGTTAAGCATCAGCAAATGATGTCCCAGTCTTAATTTTGGTTGAAAGCAATGCATTAGCACACCATAAATATGGCTCGTAATGGACAAGGAACTCAAAGAATTTGAAACTTGTTCATTGCATTTTTTTCACTTGATTTAAACAACTGGAAAAAATATCATATTAATCAAATAATTGTTACAATGGTTTAAATTTAACCCAAATCTTTCCAAAAGATTACATTTTATCAGCCCCCTTTGATAATTCTTTAATCCTGCAGTAAAATATTTATAATTCTCCTAATTCTGATGCTGTTCACCCATTCCCACAGAGGATCAAATGTCCTATGCATTTGCTCTTGTCCTCCTTAGGTATTAGGATGGCTCTCTTAAGTGTATTTTAGATGAAAAGATAAAATATATATGTAGACTGGGAAAATGTGAAATGAATTAAGTTTAATAATATTGTAAGATCAAAATTTAAACAAAATGATACAAGATGAAAAAAATCTATATCATCTTACAATTAAATAGACATGCATGCATCTTGAAATGAATTAGAATGTTCCTAAAGTACCACTTGTCCTCTCACAGAATAAATCTGATACATCACTATAACTCCTGCAGAAAGAATATCATTTTTAAAGACTATAGTCAACAATCATTTCATTTATTACTTTTCAAAGTAGTAAAGTTTATACTTTCTTTTCAAGTGGCTGTAAGCTTTCCTACTTCAGATTCTTTATTAAGTAACTTCTTATTGATCCTGAAACTCTAATATAGTTCCAGAACAGGAACTATTCTGTTGATAAACAGTATACTCTCTTTATGTAAACATTTTATTATTGTCACTGAAAAATAGATAGAAAAGAGCTAAATATTTCAGAGTGCTTAGGATAAAGATAAAGATGAAAAATTAAGTTTTTTTCTTGTGGAATCTCAATTTTCCTATTATTCCTTGGCATTTTTTGCACTTGTATGCAGATATGTGAACGGAATTGCTTGTTTTTCATGCTTTAGGCACTCCACCCTCCTTTGGATAAACAAGAAAACAGATCATACACATGTAGATGCACAGAGGGTAAGGTCCCAAGCAGTGGCCACAGGTAACACTGAGGAGATATTACAGAGATGAGAGGCTGGGCCTCACAGATTTGATAACTGTGTTGGGTAGGGGAGGACAATGAGGTGTTATGTGACTGGACCCACGTAAACATGATGTACATCAGACCTCAGGGACATTCCAAGCTGTTAGTTTACCAAGGAAGTAGCCTTACCCGGGCCTTCTGCTCCATTTCTAGCATTAATCTTTCATGTTGCTCAGCTATGGCCAGTGTCGCAGAATGGACCTTCTGATAGATCATTTCTCCTTCCCTTGTTTGAAAAGTGAATAGTCCTTCTCCTGTGTCACACATTCTGTGAGAATAGAGACAGGGAAAGAGATGGGTCTTCACGTGTTCAAGAGCGTAACAGTTCTCCATGTAAAAGATGCCCTTGCCCTTGTGTTAGTTCATCCTTGCTTTTGGAGAAGTTAGCGAAGCAGATTCATCCTTGACCAAACCAACCAATGAATGCATCCTTAAATAGTACATGAAAATGGAACTCAAAAGGGTGAAAATTCACATATATTTGGAATGTTAAAGAGAATACATTCACCACAATATAAAGAAACAGATAAGTGTTATTTAGATCACTGAAGTGTATTTCTTACCATTAAGGGAATATAAACCAATAGTAGTTTTCTTGAATGATTTTCATATTTATCATATAAAAACACTACCACTAATGAGTTGGAAGTTTTTGAAATATAAAGAATTCAAGGAAAATCTGCAATATTTTGCTCAGTGGAGCCCAGGAAAAGACTATAAATCTTTTATATAATTTTTGTTTCATATTATTTTTAATTTATGGATTTGCAAACATAGATTGAATCTTTTATTTAACCAAATAATGTTTAAGTAAGTCTTGGTGTAGTTGAGGGAACTGCATGGTACAAAAGAGACTATTTGGATATGCAGACCTCTGGCTTGAATATATTCTCTGAAAATTACGAGCAGGGTGAATTTGGGCAATTTATTCAACCTACCTATACTTCCGTTCCATATCTAAAAGAGGAATAATAGGACCATTTTAACATCTTCATGAAGGTAAAAAGAGTTGATACACAAATATTTGCAGTGTTTTTTATAGTTAGCACATATTAAGTATTTAAAAATATTCACTATTAGTATTTTCATTATAAAGTTTGGAGCTAAACAAGGAAAGTATGGAAATAAATATCTATCATGGAGAAATGGATGGATTAATTATATTTTTATTTGCTGTTATGATCCAGGATGTTATGTTGCTATGGTGTCATATTAGAACAGGATTATTATGTGGCAATTTCTGTGCCATTTCTAAGCACATGAGTTTTTACTGGAAAAAGCTCATTGACAAGTTAACCAGTAGGGTTACAGATAAGTTTTATTAATGAAAATATTTTAAAATGAAAAACATTTTTAAATTGATGCTTTAAATCAGTTTTTAGACATCATTGAAGGTCTTTGGAAAGACCCTCCCAATACCAATTTGATATTAATGCCTAGATATTGGATATTAAGTGTACTACTACTGTTTTGTTGTTTTTCAGGTGATAATCTTCAAAAGATCAACAGGTTACATCAAAATATTCAAGCACCAAAAAGATTTTGGATCCTTCCCTATGGTTCTCTGAGGAGTTTTCAGTGAAAAAGAAATGTCTCAGGAGGCTTTCCGACATCGTGGAGGCTGTGACTGCATCCCTTAGGGCCCCATCAAGCCAGCACTTAGCTTCTGTAAAAGCCATCTTAATAAAATTCACCCAGCGTGAAATGGAAAGTCTGGGGGAAAATGGACAATTTTTGCAAAGTGAAACGAATGAGCTTTCTTTGTTGATTCAGGGATGTAAGAAAATCCAAGAGCAACAGCAAAACCATTGATAAGTCATGAGCGCATCTTGGATGAAGCTGAGTTTTATTCATTGACATGTGAAAAACACTGCTCAGTAGCCTCAGGAAATAAGATAATGAAGACACAAATTGTTATTTCACACTCAGTCATTGAGATGTTAAGTTCTGAAGATTGTCCACTTCCTGGGACTTAACTCTACCCAGTGGGGGAGTCAGAAGGCTTAGAGATTTTTTTCCCCACTCTTTCAAATGGCTGCTGTAAGATTCAACCTTTCATCAAGAAAACAAAGTACTTAAAATATTAGGATAAAAAGCAAACTTTAAGAAGAAGGTACTGTTTTATCTACATTCTATTTAGCCAATCCTCAACATGATTGGCTCAATTTATGACATCCATTAGTCTTGTTAGAATAAGTAGTTCAGATTTCCTTGGTTCTTGCTTACAATATGTTCATTGGGGGCTGGTAGAGAAGAGAGACTTTTCTTATCTGTCTGAACAGTTTTGCAATAGCAAGGTAATATTAGAGGAGATGATAAGGAAGAAAATGGAATAATTTATATGGCTTTTGACTTGCTTCTCCAGTAAAATCCACAGACAGGAGTGCTGGCATCATTGGAAGCTTATTTAGACACCTGAATTGGAGTCTGCATGTTAACAATATCCCCAAGGAGTTCACATGCACATAAAGACATGAGATTCAAAGGAGGACAAATCAGAAACAATGTCTGTACTTTTTAAAGACTGATCTATGAAACTGAAGGTTAAAAAGGAAGAAACAGAACAAAACGTGGTACAAAAAAAACCCTGAAGCAATCATTCCTTGACTTGGGAAGAGCTGTTAGAGGTGCTGGTTACATGTGTATATTCTATTTCTATATTCTACAAATGTAATTACATTTATAATTCCCTAGCCACCAGAATAGCATACAATGACTGCATTATTTTGCAAAAAAATGAAAATATGGATATCTTGACTCCAAACTAGAATTCTACATAAAGACAATAGAAAATGTTACCTCTCTCTCTCTCTCTCTCTCACAGTTTTTTTGGGGGGTACCAGGGATTGAACTCAGAACCTTGCACTTGTGAGGCAGGCAGTGGCACCACTGAACTAAATCCCTGGCCCAAATATTATCTCTTCTTATGTTTAACAAAACATTGGTGCAAAGTTAGTTTTTTCTTATGTAAAATAAAATGTTGAAGAATGTAATCTGAGCTTGAGAGTAGGCAGTGGCACCACTGAGCTACATCCCCGGCCCTAAGAATGTAATCTTAAAGGTTCCATTCAGCTCTGCAGAATAGCCCTGGATCTCATAAAAATTCTAAAAGGTAAGTAGGACAGGTACACTTGTGTTCAGGATTTTTGTTTGTGTTTTCTTTTTATTTTGGACGCAGAGATATAAGAGAAAATATAGAGTTTGAAAGACTAGGATAGAAATTTATATCAATAAGTCATGGTCTGCCATACAAATTTATCATATAGTTTTAAAGTAGACACTATGGTGGGCCTAAGGATAACAAGAAGGGAAAAATATCTATGATTCATTACCTCTGAGACTTTTCAAGTAACGAGGGAAGAAAAGCATTGGTCAAAGCACCACCTACCTACTTTGGTCTATGCCACCAGGCAGAAGTGTGGACGGCTGTGGAAGATAGTATGGACTGACCTGAACAAGGAATTTATCTGTAAAACAGTGCAATAAGATTTTCTCACAAGCTTTTCTTTTGTGTAAATCAAATGAAGTCACGAATGTTATAATCGATATTTTACTGGAATAAATTCAGGCCGCTCACTGCTTGAAGGCCAACACTTGTGTGAGCTGGTGAGAAGGAATCGGGTTTACTCTAGGGCTGGAAACTTGGAAGAGGAAGGAGCTAGACCTGAAAGCTCCACATTGACAAAGTTTGGGGTGTAAAGAGCTGTAATAGCAAGAAAAGGAACAGCAGGTCAGAAAGCTACTCACTGACTAGGGTCTTTGTCACATAGTAATTTTGTCTCCTTTTTAATCCCTCTCTGGAACATCTCAATTTTAGGGCTCCTCTTGTTCTTTTTAGATTGACATATTCATAGAACTATAGGTTAAGAGGGGCATGATAGAGGTCACCATGTATTCTGAATTCTATAAATGAAACATTTGGCAGTTAACCATATTAACTCTTAGGTGTTAAATTCTTTAGAATTTAGAATGCCAGGTGAAAGAAGGAGCAAGAACCTTGGGGAAGGACAAAGGGAGAGGGAAGTGAAGGGCAAGTCCAAAGAAGCTGCCACAGTAAAGGGAGGAAATGACCAATTTAACAGGCCTGGTTGACCCAAACCCTTCACGTTCCACAGAAAGGCCCACTTTCAGGAGAGTCCTTGATTGGTTTCTGGGAAATAGCGTCTGAGCTTCTGGAATGTTTCAGTATTGCCTGAGGTCTTTTGGGGCCATGCTGTAACAGTTTGATTGGAGAGGTTGATCTCAACAGTATGACTTAGGGTGGTTGTCTGTTTTAATGCTGATGGAGGCTGAGGTGGGTCCGGTGGGTGCTGCCTGCCTATATAAATGACCCCAATAAAGCCTGGACTCCTCAAACTCTGGAGAGCTTCACTGGCTAACAGCTCATCGCAAATATGCTCACACACAATTGCTGGGAGAATTAAGTGTGTTCCCATTTAATGCACCGGAGGGCACTGGAAGCTCATGTCTGGTGTATCTTGGTCTCTCTCTTCCCAATTTTAATTGCTATATATCTCATGGTAGTCTACCATGTTGTGAGTACAAAAACTTTTTCTGAGTCTTGTGAGTCTTCTAGAAAAATCATGAAGGCTGCAGGTGGTCTTTGAATCCTTCCTTTGAGACACTAGCATATGCTAGGTTGCCAATGTATTTTGATTCAAGAACCTAAAAATCTGAATCATTTCCCTAAAATGTTACATTTTAGATTCCATTTCTCAAGGTAATCTACGAGAATACCCCATTGTCTTTATTCCACTTCACTACTCACTCACAGAATCAATCATTTGAAGTAGTACCACTGTTTTGTTTTTGTAATGGTCTAATAAATAAGGAATAATGTGAGATTATGTGGATAAATGGATTGGTTAGGAACTTGAACTCCTAATACCGAGCTCCACTGTTCATGGATTTTATAGTTTCCAAGGGAAAAACAGCCAAATTATATAGAGCCCTGAAGGGAAATTTACTGGATAACAACCCATATTACATACTACCCCCGCCATTCTTTTCCTTTCCTTAAGTGTCCAGTTTAGACCTGTGTGATGTGATGACTCTGAAATGCCAGTCTTTCTTCCAAGTGACAAGTGAAAGAAATTTATCAAGTCAAAAATAATGGAGACACGTTAGTTTTAGAAAATAAAAGTGGACACTTTTACACAATTCTCTGTGAGTCTCTAGATAGTTTTATTACATATGAATCAGTCAACCTCTGGCATTTTTGTCTGTCTTTGTGGCTGTATACTCTCATTGCCACTGTCAGTTTTACAG